TGGATCCTAGTAAAGCCTGACCAAGCGAGCAACGTTGTTGATTCAAAATGGTTATTCAGAATCAAAAAGGAGGCGGGGAATAAGATTCGTTATAAAGCTCGATTGGTTGCACGAGGCTTTAGCCAGAGAAAAGGCATAGACTATGACGAGACATTCTCGCCAGTAGTGCGACATAGTTCGCTGAGACTACTCATTGCTTTGGCAGCAAATCTCGCCTTGAAAATTGAGCACATGGATGTTAAGACAGCCTTCCTTAACGGAAACCTGAATGAGAAGGTTTTCATGCGTCAACCACCGCACTTTGAAGAGAAAGGAAAAGAAGATTATGTGTGTCTGATACAATAATCCTTATATGGGCCTAAACAAGCGCCACGTTATTGGAACATGAAGCTGCACACAGAGCTGGAGAGCCTTAACTTCAAGCGTTGCAAGAATGAACCATGCGTATACATAAGGAGAACAAACAAGGATACTACAATTCTGGCCATCTACGTGGATGACATCTTAATATTCCACAACAATGATAAAGAGGCCGCAAATGTAAAAAGGGAACTGATGTCAAAATTTGAGATGAAGGACTTAGGAAGAGCAGAGTTGTTTCTTGGACTAAGAATTAAACAAGAACAAAATTGCATTACAATTGATCAAGAGGATTATATTGACAAAGTCCTTCGCAGGTTCAATATGGAAAACTGCAATCCTGTGAGTACTCCTGGAGTACCTGGCCAACGGTTCGAGAAACCCCAAGAGCCATACACAGTGGATGCAAAGATACCGTATAGAGAGCTAATCGGATCCCTCATGTATATTGCAGTGTGCTCGAGACCAGATATAGCGCACTCAGTTAACTTTATGAGCCAGTTCTGCAACTGTTACACAGAAGTTCACTGGACTGCAACTAAGAGAATTCTCAGATACCTTAAGGGCACAAAGGATATGTGTCTCCGATACAAAAAGGACACATACAAAAATGTACAGGTTTTTGCTGATGCTGATCACGGAGGCAACATTGTCGAACGAAAATCGTATTCCGGCAATGTGTTTGTATTAGCGAAAGGAGTCATTTCGTGGCAAAGCACAAAACAGAAGAGTATAGCTTTGTCTACAGCTGAAGCTGAATACATGAGTCTGTCTGAAGCTGCAAAAGAAGCTATATTTCTCAAGAGGTTCCAAAGGGAAATTATGGAAAAGGAGGAGCCACCCATAGTAATCCACACGGGTAGCCAATCTGCTATGGCAATTGCTCAGAGTCCGGTGCACCATCAGCGTACCAAACATGTTGATGTTCGCTACCAGTTTATTAGAGTGACAGTTGAAAATGGAGAAGTCATGCTCAAATACCTCGATACAAAACAAATGGTTGCTGATGCCTTGACAAAATCTGTAGCAAGAGGTAAGCATGAGTTTTGCCGTAGAGAGATGGGTATATGTTAAATGGCTGTTCCAGAGTGAGTGAGTGAGTGAAAGGAATTCGAGGAGTCTGCATCATGATGGAATATATGAGGAAAACAATTGAGGAGGAGTGTTGAAGTAAAAAGGTTTACAATGTTTTCTTTTTAGACTGGCCAGCATGATATGACATAGGTTTGAATTTTGAGTCTTTTGTTTTCATGTGTCTCTTATAATGTCAGCAGAGGCTGAGAGAAAAATAATATGTTATTTCAGTTATTTTATTGTAAATTTACTTTATTGTGTTAACCATTAATAAAGTATTGATATTCATAATGTGTGTATCAGTTTACTACATCTAGTGTGATCGGAACGCATCCGAAAATCCGATCAAAGATTAGGTGACACGTGTTAGAGTTAGTGAAGTCTGAAGAGGACGAAGGCGACGAGGAAGAAGAGGGGGAGGACACCATATCCCTCGAATCGAGCCACCTAATGTACTTCCGCGGGGGAGACCAACAGTCCCAAGTTGGCGTTAGGTTTTTGGTAAATAAATCCCTTGCCGATAACGTTGTAGAAATGTCCAGCATGTCGAACAGGGTAGTGTACCTTATTATAAATCTCACTAAGTATACTTCTTGTATACTTCTCAGTGAGATTATCTGCACCACCTTGAGGCTATAGCCTCAAGGTGGTGCAAGTGTACGCACAAACCTCGACACACTCGGACGACGAAGTGGAGGATATGTTCGATGATATATCGAGGGCCCTACCTACTACAACGTTGTTATGTTATATAGTATGATCCCATTGATTTGGAAGCAGAAATCATAGGGGGCAAATGCTCGTCAACTTCCTCAAACAGAAAGGGCTCTTCTTGATGAACTCTTTCTTTAAGAAACAGCCCCAAAGGAAGTGGACGTGGCAAAGCCCCGACACTATGACTAAAAATGAGATCGATTTCATCATGACGGACAAGAGGCTCATATTCAGATACGTCTCCGTGATCAACAGGTTCAATACCGATAGGGATCACTGACTCGGAGAGCCCCTCTCCGAATATCAACTTTAAGGCCGAGCGCGTCCGTTTGATGAAATCCAGGCTCCAACCTACTCTGCTCCAATCTATAACATGATCTGTAACGTTCCAGTTAAATCTGGAGAACCGACTTGCTGCCGTGGAAACCACATCAGACGTAAACTAAAACCTCGAAAATGTGGTTCGGATCCTCAGGGAAGAGGGTACGAGATTATGTGCGCAGCATAAGGGCATGAAGTCAAAGCTTTCGGAAGAGACTTAAAGTAAACACCGAAAACACAGAAAGAAATAACACGTGAACGTACACTGCAGTGAGCTGACTGTGACTAAGGTTAGGGCGCCTGCTAGGGATATTGGATATACATCGATGCATCGAAAACATCGAGGTTTGCAATGAAAAACATCGAATCGATCCGATGTTTTGAAAAGCTTTCAATATACTCGATGCATCGATATTTAAAAAAACATCGAATTGGTAATACAGTTTGACCACGTAGTGATAATATCCTCTTTTTGGTTTAACCTCAGTAAAAAAAAACTTAAGTTTGACCACTAAAATTTTACTTACTGTTATGAAAGCATTCCGAATAGGCTAGTTGACCCTTTTTGGAATAAGGTTTTAAATGGTTAATAAATGTTCTATTAGACCGAAAAAAATGTATTGTATTTTTTAGAGACCTAGAAAGCTACAAATCTTTAATTTTAAAGTAGAATTTTCATGGACATACAAAAACGCTGTCGGCCATTTTAGTCTATAGATTGTCTATGCTATGATGTCAACTGTAGTAAACAAAAACTCGTAAGCACGTAGAAAATAACTTATCTGAGTTTATAATAAAAAGAACATGATTTCTAATAAATACCACGAAAAATAAAGTAATTATCATTATTGTATTGTACGAGAATATAAAAACACATCCTTGAAGACTCCAGGAATGTTGTGGATTAAAGTGCCGAAAGAAATTAACCTACGCAACTTTATTACACTTAATTCATATGTTGTATCAGTTTTATGTTTATTACTACATTGTAATACTAAATGCACTTTACTTACATAGATGCCTTGTCGTTTCTCTGCTCCGCAGAGCAGAAATCGGGGTTCAGTGCAAAAAATTCACCAACCATCAATGCGTCAATTCTTGGCAGATTTGTGCTTTCTGCTTTCATAAAGCCGGCATCCATAATTAGTTTTGTCAAAAAAACAGTAAACGGAAACTTTTCTAAAGTTAAAAGTGTTTTAAGAAAAATTTATTCAGACTAAAGAATCCACCCATAACAACACGCGAATGACATTGAGTTGTTTACTGAAAGAGACGTCACAATCATGGCGGATGTAGCGAACAGCGTTTTTAGTGTTTAAAAAATATAGACTAAAAAATATTTTTTTAAATTAAATTTCTACAGCAATCTTCTGCTTTTATGAAGTGAAATCGATATATTTAGGTTCCTTAGACCAAATACTGTAAGAAATAAACATTTATTTAATACAATTCGACATGAGTCAACTAGCCTATTCTCTGATATGGCTCCGATGTTGGCAGCACTGCGCAAGAGTCAGTGCAGTGACAATAAAAAATAACTACGAGTTTCTATGTTTAAAAACATTTAATAACCTTTGGTTTTGTGAAACAAACTAAGATTGAAGTATATTTCTAATATTCTATTGACAGACAGCAAAAAATTTTAAAATTTAAGAAAAAGTACTCGATGTTGAAATACATCGATGTTTTCATCCGATACATCGATTGACATCGATGTATAGTTGCGATGTATCGAATCAAAAAATACATCGATGTTTTTTCAGAGTGGACACCCCTAGCGCCTGCGCAGGAGCATGGGCCGGGGAGCGGGGGGATCGGGTTATTTTGTAACCGGTTATCTTTATGATCATGCGCAGCCCGCCGCTGTGCACTAATGGATAGAAAAATGAGTAGGTATTTTGGAATTAGTCGTCAATAATACGTCAATGAGATATTTATTTAAACGTAAGATACCATGAGAACCCCATGCATTTGGGAAGCGTTGCTGTAGTTGGAACACTCAACGTTAAGCATTATGCCGCATAATGCGCAATAATGCTGTAATTAGAAAGCAACCTGTGATATTGTTTTGATGTCTATTTCACATTACGTATTATGCTCTCTGAAAAATGCGATATCAAAATGACATCAACTTATGCTATGATGATGATCAACTCTATAAAATGATATCAACTTAAATGCGTATTACGTTCAACTTTTTGACTTAAAATAGTATCGCTTAAACGTCAAAAACGTGATACAGGATATAATATTGATATGATCTTGATGTGACATAGGAATGTTTCATAATACCATCTAAAAACAATGTCAACTTGGCATCAACATCATATTGACATCACATTAGAATTTTATTACTGAAGCATAATTGACCCGCTGTATGTCCGGCTTTTAGGGCAAAATGTCAGGCCTTATATAGTGCGCAGTCCGGCCTTTGCATTTTATGGTCTGGCAACCCTACTCGCGGTGCGTGTAGTGCAAAGAGTAGTATTTATATTATGGTGTAGTGAATGGTGGGCTTAAGACTTGGCAGTATGTCTTAGTACCTTCGCCTGTCCCAATGGACGAACAACTACAACTACAACTGAGTGAGGTGGAAAGTGATTGAGATGGCTGAAGTGACATAACAACAAAGTGAAAATAATATTTGTTTGGTTTTGCTTGTGACGACGTAAATTGTTTTTAGAAATAAATTTAGAAATTTCCCCGTATTTAGCTTTGTGTTTTTTTGTGTTAATTTAACGATGGCATATATATTTTCCTTGATATGTTTGTCGATTTATCTCATAAATGGTAATTCATTTTGTTACCGAGGTACTAGTTAAATTAGTCATTAATTTTGATAGTTCACGCAAACTGTTTATGTTTTAGATGTGGAATCGCTTCAGATGTACGTGACGAACAATGGTCCATCTGTGATTGGATCCAAAATAACTTTCACAGCGGTTGTAACAGACTATAGCAATGAATTTTTAAAATATTCATTTTACGATAATGCCCAGCCGCAACACGATCAATCGGTAAGCTGAAATTTTAAAGAGTACAATTTTCACAGTTTTAGGCATGTAGTGAGATGAGTGATCTATTATCACTCAACTCCGAGACTATGATCATTAGATAATGTTTTCATATAAAACAGGTTATGTTATATTGTGTTGTTTTATTTTATGGAGTTGGGGTTTTTGCTTTGCTAATGAATAAATTAGGTTTGATTCTGGTATGATTCACTTAAATCAATGACAGTTTATTACTTAAAATTCTTGTTTAATGAAAATAAAAACTGCTTTCAAATTGTGTTGCTAATCAGGTCTATTATCAAAGTCATTGTAATGATTTAATTTAGTGAATAGACCCATTGGTATTTGTTTTGATGCAATAGATTAACTAAGGGTCTGGTTTATTTAATGAACAATTGTAAATTCCAGTACCTAATCATTTTGAAATTTGTAAGTCTTAATGCACCTAGTGTGCCATTTGTTTTTTTTTAGTTTATAAATTCTACGGGTATCATGAACTGGACTGTGGAATACCCTAAAAGATTTTATGAAGCAGGAGAATACACAACAACAGTATTTTTAATGAAAAATTTTATTGGGATTTGGATTAATGTAGCAACAAGTAGTACTACATTTAATTTGACAGGTAAAGAAAAACAACTTACTAACAATAGAAAGTAAATGCTTAATAAAATGAAATATTTGGGGTCTATAGATAGAGACATTGTTGAGGTGTGGGGAGCAAAGGCGGCATCCCATCCCCACTAGTCTGGGGCACTCAGTCCGCCAAACCTATGCTTCTACTATTAGTGTAGCTAGGAACTGCATCTCCCGAACAAAATGTCAATCTTTGCCCTTGGCATTTGTATCTCATTATTGCCCTGCGTGTGGGAAAACTTACAAAAGATGAGCCTGGTATCGACAATTATACAAAAACCCTTTTCGATACTCCAATAACATTTTCAATGAACAAAACGGAAAGCTTCTCTTGACCATGAAGAGTTATATAACTTTAAAAAGATATACAAAGTGCCTAAGAGTTTGAGACTATAGGAGGATCCAAACATCCAAAAACCTCACCATCCTCTTATCAATTTTCAAAGTAGTGTACCTACCCTAAAGGAAATAAACACTCAAATTGAACAAAAAACAACCAAATCAACTTGGGGCCTGATGGTATTCCCTATACACAGTGTTTCAAAATAACCCAAAAAAAAGAGAAATTATTTATTGAAAAATCATAATTCAAATGTCTAGTAATCAGCCATTAATGTCATTCAACCCAAAATATGTCTGTATTTACGTATGATCCTCGCCAGTATGCATGTACATAAAATGCTAAAATAATAACCTTCCTTTTGGCTTTGTTGTCGTAAATCACAATTTTATTCGATTTCACTCCTTCCTTATCTTTGTTTTTTTCCTTAGTCGAGTTTCAGATTTTAAAACTTTTTGGTTTTTGTTAATGTATTTTTTTATTTAATTCCAATTAATTGTTAACCTCTCGAGCGCCCAAACGTCAAATGTCATAAAATCGATAAGCGCCAAAGTCAAATTTAGCGTATGAATTTAAGTTGGCGGTCGGCGTTTAAATCCAGATTTCAACGTAAATTGATATGAAAACACCAATGAATATGCATATATTCAGAATCTACATAACATTTGCTTTATTATGTATTAAAAATCAACTAATTCTGTTAACATCGTGGAAATATTTATGCGATCCAATGACACAAATGTGTAAATTTATACCTGTAATTGTAGAAAAATGCATATGAAAATCAATATGAGGCATTAATATCATTATCAAAGGTTTAATAATATTATTTTTTAGTTATTTTATTAATATAAACAAGTAAAAGCATCCTTTTCTCATTAAAATAATCAAAGAAATAGATTTGAAAACGAATTCGTAAAAGCAAAAATATCTTTGTAACAGATGAGAGTTCAAAGTTCTTTTTGGCCTTTATTATCCACTTATGTTTTTGTTTTATGGTTTCCTAATAACCTGAACGTGTTAAGGAATCCCTTTTTCAATAAATCAAGTGTTTCAAGTGGCCAGATCTTTAAAAATCTTATGAAACTAAAAAAAATTCATCAATAAATACCACTGTTAAAGACAAGGGTCTAAAAAATAAACCGTTTTGTAGTTTTACAAATGAGTTGTTTTGTCAAAAACTACATTAAATAGATAACCATAATAGAGAAACACTTATTTCTAATATTTTGCTAGAATTATTAAAATAAATTGAAAACATTGAAATAATTTCGGACCAAACTGAGAATTAAGGACAAAAAATGTATCGAGTCGTCTCTCGTCGAATATTTTATATTTATTGGTAAAGGTATATATTATATTAAATTCACTGGTGTGTTTCACAATTTTTATGTTTAATGTACTTTGAAAATTAAATATATTTTTATTTTTGATTGTAACTTTTTGGCTTTGGATTAACTGTATATAATTATAATCAATAATAAAAAATATTTTTAAATAATAATAAAAATATGTTTAAAAATGTTTGTAATTCTAATATAATAATAATATGAAAAAAAACGTATAAAACAAAATAAAAAGTTTAAAATCAGCGTTTTGTGCCGTGATACTGCGGAAAGCAAGTAAAAGCAGAGTCGCACTGCAACCAGGGCAGTAAACGTGGGTGCGTTTGCGGCATACAAAGCAAACCCTATACTGCTAAATCTGAAAATAAATTTAAAAATAAGTAGTTGATTGTTCGGTAAAACTAAAGAAGGTACCCACACAGTACTTACTGGCGAGTACTACAAAATAAAACAAATTTATCACCACACTTAAATTAATAAGAAAATAATTAGATTTATGAGATTCAGTTGCAAAAATATTGATATTTTAAATTTATACTAAAAATATTTTTAGGCGTCTCCACGACTTCTATGCTCAATTTAGATTTCGCCGCCTTTTTGAAACCAGAGTTTGAGGCGTCCCGTCACCGTATTACGGTTGAACGAAACATCGTCATATTATTTTATTTTTCAGATTTATTTTAACCACTGGCTATTTATTTTTTTATCATCTATCAATAGTTCAAGATATTTTCTGTACAATAAAAAACAAATGTTAGCAGAAACATTTTTGTTTTTTTGAAACTTATAATGATTTCTGCGACGGTTTTGTATGGATAGGGACATGGACTTATCTAAATAAAGTAAAACTAGTTGGTAATATCAAAACTATAACAAAAATAATATTGTCATATATTAAAAATAATATTAGCTACTTACCAAAAACTTTCTTATCGCGATACTCGAATCACAGCACATTAAATTCACGTCTCAAAGTGGACTTAAAGCTCAAAGTAATATGACATCACCTGCTCTTAAGTTTAGCTGATTGACTGTTCTAACAGTTGTCGAAAATATACATGTGTGTGTATCAGATCTCTTATTCGTTTCATTAGCTTCAATATGGTATACATTGAAAAGAGACAATAACAAGTTTGTTTATTACATAACTACCTTTAAATCAATGGCATAATAATCATATTCTTTGTAACATGTTAAAAACGTCATATGAATCTCCTTTTTTTAAAGAGCGAGATAGTAGACTTTGTTCAGGCTGTCTGTCTCACCTCGTTTTTTATCTCACATCAATTTCGTTATTCTATGCGCATTTTGTTATTTGTGTTTCGATCATTATCAAACAGTAAGCCGTATGGGCGTTGTTTTCTTTGCCCGCCCGGAAAGAGAAAACGAAATAAATAAAAAATCTAGTGTCACTTCACGAAGAAATTGATGTGAGATAAAAAACGAGGTGAGACAGACAGCCTAAACAAAGTCTACTATCTCGCTCTTTAAACAAAAGAGATTCATGTGACGTTTTTGACACGTTACAACTTCGAATTGCATAATTATGTTTAATTAGACACATCTGCTATTGTTTACTTTTATGAAAAAATACACTTTGGGTAGCGCATGCATTTTTTTTGTTTTCCTAAATAGAGTCTTCAAATAGAGTAGCGGTCAAGTACAGTTTTATTCAATGACTATGTACCTACTTGACATTTAAATGTAATGTTTTAATATCATTTTCCTTATTTGTAATACCTGGGATAACATGACGCATAAGGTTGTTGCTAAAGCCTATGCCAGACGGATATAGTCCAGCGTACTAACCAAGGTGACCTTGTCTGTTGCCATCCATCTAGACGAAGGATGTAATCCAAATTTTGATTTAACCTTCAACGTCCTTGGATTACGGGCGCGTGTTTACATCCGCGGTTGGAGCGCGTGGATTACAACCGTTTGGCCGGCGGATTGCATCCAACCAAAGACAGTTGCGCTGTGGCAGTCAGCGGGTGCGCACGTATGAATGTAAAAAATGTCTCCATGCCCGGTGCGCACGCCCTAATGTACTTCTATTTCATAATAATGTGACAGCCTTGTTTAAATTAGGTAGGCAAATGACTCTATCGACGCTACATAATGAATAATCTCATTTTTGCAAATTGAGAAAATGTCTGTTTAACCAAGCTAGGTTTTATGTTACAGAGTCCCTGAATGGAAATTTAAGGATGAGTCAAAGCAACAAATTGAGACCTAATAGATATGTTTCTGTCAACCAACCTGTTATTCATTATGTACAACTGCCAGATAATGAAATGGAATTCTTGAAAAGAAATGCTTCCAAGGTGGTTACTTACTGGTTTAAAGATTGCACACTAATAGACCAGACGACAGATTTATCATTGAACTACACATACACAGATCTTATGGGTGATCACTACATTGAAGCATTGGTGGTGGCTGATAATCTGCCTTTGCCACCTTTGACTACAACGACAACTTCTACAACGACAACTACAACAACAACTACAACAACTACCATAACAACACCTAAGCCCCATACTTCTTCATTGCCACCAGCGAATGTGACTGTTCTTTCCAATAACACACATAAATTAGTCAGAAGATCAGTTTCAAGCAAAAGTAAGAAAGTGGGCAGTCCTCTAAATTTCGTCTGCTATAACACAAGCATTGTCCCGATTGGCGATACATACACGTATGGGCATTATCAGGAGACCATTAGCGTTGCCGGTAAGCTTTGTATTCTTTAATTTATTATTACAGTTATGCAAACAGGTATGGGTAAAGTAGGTGAAATTCAAACTCAATGGCGACATCTCAACCGTGATAAATTTTGAATTGCACTCTAGTTCAAACCACAGTAGCCGTATTACTATTCGCCGTATGTTAAAGGTGCTGATTCGAAGCCCCTATGGTACTCTGCAATGACTGGAAATTGTTTGAATGTTTTCTTAAACAAAGTTGTGTGAACAATTATGTTATAGCTGTGATATCATAATGAACTTAACTATTTCAGATCCTGTGGCCACAATAAACATCACGGGTCTGAATTGGCTTCAGCACGGAGATCTGCTACGATTGAATGTGAAATATTCTGGTACACCTCCATTCCAGTACTGTGTGCAATACAAAGTGGGCCAATACAATGTGACTGGCAACGAAACCTGCAACACAATGTCTACGACAAATTCTACAGAATTTCCGCTCATACACTATTTCTCGGGCAGCGATCAACACACTGTTGTTGTCATAGTAGAGAATCTGCTCACGAAAAACGTTTCCAGGGCTACGATTAACATCTACAAAGGTAAGAGCCCCAAAGAAAATTTGCAGAATATAATATTACCTACTCCAAGCGATCTAAATACTAAGAAAACGTCAGCTTGCAACTATTTAGTCTGTAGGTACACTTGAACATAAAATAAATATTGATGATTTTTAGAATTGTAAAGGAGAATGCTCATGGATGTATGGACCACCGTACAATGGTTGCATCAATACCAAACAAATGTTAAATGATCGTTTAATATTCTAATTAGTATGACAAATTGGTATTTTGAAAATAAAAACAGGGGTTCTCATGTTATTGTAAAAATCGGTTGTCTGTAAACTCGGTTTACTGACGATAGTTGAACGTGACAACGTTTTATTACAATGTACATAGTGTCACAAACGCTCTCGAAACGTAATCGCGAAAGTGCCAGAGATCGAATTTGCCAGATCACCGCGGGTCGCGATAGAGTTCGAGTAATGCGGCTCATTCTGAAATGAGCCTTATGCAGTGCGACGTAAGGGAGAAAGTGCAACGACATCTGCACTTGTTTACAAGTTATGCGTGTTACCTGCGTAGGTATAAGTAGGTATTTCGTACTCGCGGGTGCTAGGTAATTCTCAATTTAACAGGTACTTTCTAGAATGCGTCGATCGGCGTATATAAGCGCGATTGACGCCGCGCAGAGACAGTTGGGTTTCAACAGCGATTTCGGAGCGAATCCAAAGGCGATCAAAGTGCAACAAAAGTGTTAAAGTGAGATTGTTTAGAGACTTGTATAGCGAAATACAGTATTTAGTGAGTGTTTTGTAATTAACATTGTGTGTTAATTGTGTGAACTGTGTGGTGAATATAGAACTGTCAAGCGTGAACTGGCATATAATTTCGAACCCCATCCCGACACGTAACAACTGGTGACAGAAGTGACATGCCAGTCATACCGCGTGACGGAAGTGAAGGCATACGCACTCGACGGCAGGCCGTAATGGACTATTCGCGGGAGTCGGGAGTAGCGGCACCTGAAGATGGTTCAAGCATACCACAGACGGCTCACCACAGTGGTGTTGTCGCTACAAGTACTGCGCCTGCGTTCGACATATCATCGTTAATGGCGGCTATGCAAGCTATTCAAGAGGGCCAACGACAAGCTATGGAGAGTCAACGACAAGCTATTGAGGACGTCAAGGAGAGTCAACGACAAGCTATTGAGGACGTCAAGGAGAGTCAACGCCAAGCTATGGAGAGTCAACGACAAGCGCTCAAGGATGTCAAGGAGGACGTGAAGGCTGCTATTGACTCGAATTTTGAAGTATTCAAAACAACTTTGTGCGGTCTCCAAGACGAAATAGAATGTGTAAAGAGTCGTACCAGCAAACACCAGGAGACCCTAGACAAACACCAGCAGAGCATAGGCTAATGCAAGGAGACTCTACAGGTCCATGAGAAAATTTTAAGAGACCTTCAAAAAACCAAGGTCATCAGCACCGCCATAGCAACCACGGGTACCACGGCACCTAAATTTAAAGTACCTGCGTTTGATGGTACAACTTCCTGGACGGCATTCAGACACCAATTTGAAGTCGTAAGCCAAAGGGAACGGCTGGGAGGACGAACATGCCCTGACCGCACTCACTCTTGCGGTCAGGGGGGATGCTCTTCTGATATTGGAAAATGTACCAGCCGATCAACGTAGTTTGGAAACTCTCCTCAAAGCTCTGGAGGCTCGTTCCGGGGATAAACACCTAGAAAATGTGTATCGAGCGCAACTAAAAGAACGGTCACAGAAACCAGGAGAAGGATTGCAGCAGTGGGCCACGGAGAGTGAACGACTGGTGCGTCGCGCTTATGCATCCAGTAAGACATCCATAGAAGATATTGTAGTTCAAGCTTTTGTGGATGGTATAAGAGAACACGAAGTAAGAGCGGCCGTTCGATTGGGACATCACACGACCCTGGAAGCTGCTTTAGCGCACGTCCTGGAGGTAGAAGCAGTACGCAATGACTACAAGACACACAGTGCGAGAAGTTGTTGCAGCAGTCAAGCCTCGAGGTGGACCAATGTGCTATGGATGTGGAGAACGAGGGCACATCAGGACTAACTGTCCGGTCCAGCGGAGAAACCGGGCGATGTCAACCGGTACTCAGAACTCTGACGAAAGGGAAGACTCGTTAAACTAATCGGGGCCAGGGCTGCGGGGCGGGCACTGGCTGGACTTCATTTAGCCCCCACAGTACGAGTGTCACAGGCATGTGATGGAAATAGTCTCGTAACCGCAGGAGAAATAAACGGCAAGCCTGCACAACTTACAATTGACACAGGGGCATCGAAAACTATCGTACGGCCGGAACTTCTCAAGCGTACAATCATGTGGCAAGGTAAAGATCTACGTGTCAATTGCAAACAGCTACAGGCCAGCCAGTGACCGTCCTGGGAGTGACAGATATTACATTAAAACTAGGAGACAAAATCTACAGACAAAGCGTCTTGGTCGCTAACATAACGGACGACTGTATACTAAGACTGGACTTCTTACGATCACAGCAGTGTGTGGTGGATATCGCTAGAGGAGTATTGAATTTTCCGGATCAAGAAATATTTCTAGAAGGAAACCCTCCACCAGTGGTCTGCAATGTCAGAACGGTTACCCTACCAGCGAGGTCAGAGACATTGGTAGAAGTCAAGTTTCCGGAAGGAGCGTCACTGAATCGATGTGTCGTAGTAGAAGATATCGGGAGTCACCCTAGTTGGATCACGGCTAGAACCTTGATCATGACCAAGAGAGGGAGGGGCAAGGGTAAAAATCGTAAACACTAGCAACACTGCACTGAACATGGTCATCGGACGATGCGCAGGTGTAGACTACATGAGAAGAACTCAAGAATGCTGTAGAGAACCACCTTCAACGAGGCACATGAATCCGTTACTGGAGAAAATGAAGACAAGTTTGCCACCTAACTTGTATAATGAAGCCAAGCAACTAATATTAGACTACAAGGACATCTTTTCGAATGGAGAAAATGACCTTGTGAGGACTGGCCTTGTCAAGCATTCAATCCACACCGGTGATACACAGCCTATCAAGCAAAGACCTAGACGAGTGCCTCTGGCAAGAGAACAGGAAGTAGCGGACATGATTGAGAAGATGTCACGTGATAAAGTCATCGAACAATCAACTAGCCCCTGGTCTTCTCCAGTAGTATTGCTGAAGAAGAAAGACGGCAGCACCAGGTTCTGCGTGGACTTCAGGATGCTCAACAATGTGACCAAGAAGGACAACTATCCATTGCCTCGTATTGACGACACATTGGACATGTTGGGAGGCATGAAGTGGTTCTCCACAGTTGACCTGAAGAGTGGCTACTGGCAGGTGGAACTTCGCCCAGAGGATAAAGAGAAAACTGCATTCACTACTGCTACTGGAAAAGGGCTGTGGCAGTTTTGGGTCATGCCCTTGCAACGCACCAGCCACTTTTGAACGACTCATGGAACGTGTGCTGGTGGGGTTATTGGGGGATGCTTGTCTGGTGTACCTGGACGATGTGATCGTTATGGGACGCAGCTTCACGGAACATTGGAGGAATCTAGAGAAAGTATTCAGAAGATTCCGCGAATCAAACCTGAAGCTCAATCCAGAAAAGTGCGCGTTCTTCAAGAAGGAGGTAGCCTTTTTGGGGCACATAATATCTGATAAGGGTGTCCAAACTGATCCTGAAAAGGTAAAAGCTGTGCAGGAATGGCCAACACCGACAAATAAGACTGAAGTGAGAGCTTTTCTAGGCTTATGTGCGTACTACCGCAGATTTGTAAAGAGCTTCTTTGAGATAGCCAGGCCATTACAATGACTCACGGAAGAGAAGAGAAATTTCGTTTGGGACACGGTTTGCCGGCGTTCGTTTACGAAGTTAAAGGATTTACTTTGTTCTGCACCAATCTTAAGCTATCCACGAAGAGAGGGAAGATTCATTGTGAATCAGTATTCACAATGAATCTTCCCTCTAGAATCAATCAATCAATCTCAATGAATCTTCCCTCGCCGATTCCAGTATTACTAGCATCAGTATGCTAGTAATACTGGAATCGGCGGAATATTGTCACAAGAATAAAATGGACAACAAGCTGTTATCGCTTACTTCAGCAAATCTCTTTCAAAGCAAGAGAGAAATTATTGTGTAACTCGACGCGAACTTCTAGCAGTTGTAAAGACCCTACAACACTTCAATAAGTACTTGCTGGGAAGAGAGTTCACTCTGCGTACAGACCATGCAGCACTTAATTGGTTACTCCAGTTCAAGAACCCTGAGGGCCAAGTGGCGAGATGGATCGAACAGCTACAAGAATTCAACTTCGTAATAGAACACCGTAGCGGAAAGACGCATGCCAATGCTGATGCATTATCAAGGCGGCCTTGTGCTGAAGATTGTAAGCAATGTTTAAAATGCGAGTGCAAAGATGAAGTGAAGGTTATAAGGGCTCAAGAATTGGATGAATCCTGGAGTAAAGCTGAAATATCTCCGAAGTATTTGCTACACCAAACCAGGAGGCTCAGACCGTCGCCAAGAGGCTTGTTGAAGAAGTAGTGTGCCGATTCGGCGTTCCGTTGGAATTACACAGCGATCAAGGAAGGAATTTTGAGTCCAATTTATTCCAGGAGATGTGCAATTTACTCGGAATAAATAAGACGCGTACGACTCCGGCACACCCACAATCCGACGGCATGGTAGAGAGATTCAACCAGACTTTGGAAAATCCTTTGGCGAAGGTCGTAGAAGAACATGAACGGGACTGGGATCGTTACATTCCGCTCTTTCTGATGGCGTACCGGTCCGCAGCGAATGACACCACTGGATTCACTCCATCGAAAATAAATTTCGGAAGAGAGATGCGCATACCCGTGGACCTACTTACCGGAACACCTCCTGCTGCCTCCAAATCAGTAGTAGAGTACGTCGCAGAGCTGCAAAGAAGGTTGGACGAAACGCACGACCTCGTGCGTGAAAATAACATGAAATCTGGCGAGAAAATGAAAAGCAGGTGT